TGCCACACGCCCTTCGAGTTACAACACTCGATGAACCCACACCCGCAGCAAGGATAGGCTGTCCCACCAACTCGTCAAGTTAGTACCAAACCGAGAAGACTGAAGTCAGCGCTTGTGACAGCTCAACCACTGCGCAGTGAAAAGAGGAGACCTACGATGCACCGCCCATGGACATGAGGAGAACACCTTCTCCTGCTTCAAGGTTAGTGCATGAGGTCATGGGACAGACGTACTGTGCTTTTTATCAAGTTCGTGTTCCTCCGGCATCTGAACTGACGTTCAAAGTAGTGTGGTGAGGAGAGATGGAAATCATGACCCCCTTGACCCTAATGACTGTCATGTGGAGGAAGAACGTGTGACCTCTGCATGGATTATGCACGATGGATGAACACAAAATGAACTGTTCCTCTGATTAACTGAATGTAGGACTTTGGTACTTGTATGTGTAATCTAGTTACATAAATGTTGAGACAACATTTGATTTTGCGGGGGAGTGTGTAGAGATTGTCAATTTAAGGGCACCCCCATTTTTTTTATTAAGTGGACGAGTCTCTACCTTTCTTACCTTTGTCCCTTCCTGCCCTCTGTTTTACAGATTTTGTTCGCCAGCCTCTGTCATCCTGTCCACTGGGACTACAAGCACCTTGTAAGCCAGTTGGAACAATGATGGAAGTCTCTTGGCCATTTCCTGCCAGAACTGCAGAGCACTAGTGGTAACACAGTCGGGTTAGACACAGCTTCCAAATACCTTGCAAACTGTCTACTAGCTGACTCCCTCTCGCCCAGTGCTCCACTTTTATTTCTGTGTCTACAGTACATGTACTTGGCCAGTAGACGCGACACCTTAGCTGGAATTTGGTCTTCTTTTTCTTCACTTGATGCTGACTCCCTGTGTTTAAGCTCTTTGTGGCTTAGGAGTTTGCCTCGGCCTCAGAGATGACCATCTCTGTAACAGTAAAATGGAACAAAAAAGAGTTAAAACGATCATTTCATCTCTATT